CTTGGAAAAAAGTTAAATAAAAAAACTAACGAAAAAAAACTAAATTCCTAACGAAAAAAGAAATGAAGAAAAATTATTTATGAAAAAGAAATTATATAAGCACTAAAACAAAATAAAAAAATTAAAACTTAAAATCGAAGCGAAACTTTTTGCTACGTTTTAATTACGTTTGAATTAAATCTTTTTAAATGTTTTATTAAAGTTAGGTAAAACGCTTTTAAATTAAGTAACAAATTACTACTAATGATTGTTTAATAAATGAACAAATTTTACAAATTCATTAAACTGTTGTATTTAATACTTTTAAATTGTATAAAAATTTATTTTTTCAAAAAAGTTGCAAAAAAAATTGTTTAAAAAAATAACGTAGTTTTTTTAAAGTAATTTTTAATAATTTCATGCTCTAATTAATGTCTAGTTAAAAAAAAGGTTTCTAACACTTTTATTCGTAAAAATAGCAAAAAATAATTAAATAAAATGCGCCTGTGATTTAAATAAATTTAACTTCCAACAAGCAATTTAATTTACTTTTAATTTGAGCATTACAACTTTATTAATAAGAGCTTCATGTAACGAATTTAAAAATTATTATAAATGATTTTAACTTATTTATTCCTATCGTAATGAAAAAAAAAAAATTACAGTTACAATTTGAGCATTACAACTTTATTAATAAGCGCTTCACGTAAAGTTACTTCGTGTTACGTAAAGTCATCGTAAGTTTAATATAAAAATATAATATGATAAAAATAATAATATAAAAATTAATTGTATGAACATTACAAAATGCTTCAAAACTTTTTCATTAATCAACAAAATACATCCTTATATAGTAAATAAATTATTTTATATTCTTGTATAATTCACATATTATGTGTAAAGCTAGTAGTCACAAAAGATTTTGAACTTATTCATAAATTAAAGTAACTTATAAAAAAAAGATCTTTTTAAATTTAATGCTTTAAAAGATTTTTAGTAAGACATGGGAAAATAGTTTGAATTTATCATGAAAAATACATGCCTAAATAAAAAAAATTAAATATAGCATTTTATATAAATTTACACACGCGTCTATATAAACAATCATTAAAATAATTAATTATATGGTTTTATTTTAAAGCCTTCACATAAAATAAAAACTTTAGGAAAGATCAACGATTAAAAGTTATTCATAATATAACTTTTTATTGCATTTTAAAATGTTAAAACATCAAAATAGCGGTGGTCAAGTTGTAAAGAAAAAAAACTATTAGCATGGTCAGTTATAGAGTGCGATCGCACGCCACTCCTGTCCAAGCCTGTGTACTGTTAAATTTTTATATTAAAAAAAAAAATTGTAATTACGCTGATTTAATTTAAATTGTCAAAATGCCATAATGCGCGTTAAAAAACATTATATTTGATATTTCCCAATTTATGTGTTGTATTAGGCTTGTGTCTCTTAAAATGGAAAACTAAAAAACTAACAAAATTGACAAATACAAGTTTTCCAATAAACACTACAATAATGCAACACAATTTTGCAACCTTTAGTCAAATTAATTACAATTTTGTAAATAAAACAAAATACGAAATACATGTTTTTCAAAATAAATTTAATTAAATATATTCTCACATGGCTAAATATGATAAATTTTTTAAATGTGTGAAAACACCTGATGAAAATTTTACTAAACAATAGACCATGTGACGTCTGACTTTTTCTCGAAAAATTCAAGTAGCTCAGAATGTCAGACAAGAAAATTATGTTTTTTCTCAAATATACTTTCCGTACTATATATATATATATATACGTTTCTAGGGCTTTTTTTGATCTTAGAATAAAACACAACATTGCATAATTTTAGGGGCTTTTTATTTATTGCTTACTCGTTCTAAATAATAAGTAAATTTAGTTCAAGTTAATATTTCAATATTTACAGTTGCAATATAATAAAAATAAAGATGTTAAATGTTGAACTTTTTGTTTAGTTCTTAATTTTTTACCTACTTTTGTTATTAAAAGACTTTAGTACTCCCGTCTTTAAAATTATTTGTTTTAAATATATTTTGACATGATTATTTAAACTAAGTTTTTTCATTTGACTTCTCGAACTTCATTCAAAGCAAATTTAGACAAAATATCGTCTAACCAAATAAAAATGCTGTTACTAATTTTATTAGTAACAGCATTTTTATTTGGTTAGACAATAAGTCAAAAGTCTACTGTGACATCAAATACTAAAATTTTTATGAATTAAACACACTTCAAAAATAAGTCTTTTTCCATAGAAAAAGACTTATTTTTGAAAGGCAGAGATCATTGTCACACATTACATTTGGGTGGAAATTGTAGTAAACCAGCAAACAGTGTCCAATGTCCTTAAATATTTTAGAAAAAGTTGTTTAAGACACAATCATGAATCATTTTTATTTAGACAAACCCAAAGACAAAGAAAAGCATGGTTCTCTATAAAGGTTGTAATACTAACTTATTGAAAACAATTAATAATTAAAATCTAACTAAATGGCTAATCAAAGACTTGCTCAAAAGCTACAAGTTTTTGAGCAAGTTAATGCAACACAAATAACAAATTAATAAAAAAGACAATAAATTTTACAAATAGCATTTTAAATTTAGCCAATGCTACTAGTAGCCTAAAATAGGGTAAGATGCTCAAACTGTTTTTTTATAACCTAAAAAATTTATTTTATTCTTTCCTTTATTGACTAATAATGGATTTAATCAATAAATAAAATTAAAATGAAACATTAGATCACATTATATTTAATTCTTCAACCTTTTTCATTAAATTTCTGGTTTTTTATACCATCTTAATCTGTATAATGATATTGTCTAAATGAGCATGAGAAGAACTGTAAAGTTTGACTAAAATGCGGTAAAAATTATCATTTTTGTATTTCTTTTGGTAAACCTTCTCTATTTAATAAAAGTTCATCTAAATTTGATTTATCTTTTAAGCAGACATATTCTTTCTTCAATAAAAATAAAAGAAATTGCCTCCTAATCAGAAAATTTATTTAAATAATTACATATGTTTACCCACAACTACTTTAGCCAGAATAGTGGAAAAAGTTAACAAAACACTTGCTCAGCTGTGCAACAAATTATTATATTAGTAAAATTTTTAATAATAATGTTCAAGAAATTTTAATTTAACATTCAAAAGTTTTCTGGTGGAATAGTTCACCATTCACCATTATATAAGTTTTTTGTTTTTTCTTATAAAGAGTTGTATTTTTTTCATGATTTTCTATTCTAGTTTTAAATACTTGCTGCATAATTTTAAACAGACTGCAGTTTTTTTAATAGCGAGTTTTCTTTGTGCGCTTAGAATTGTTTTATTTTTTATATGCAATAAGAATTGTTATATTTATCTATATTTAGTATTTTGTTTTATAATTAATTTATATTATTTAAAATTAATTTGTTATACTTATTATACATTAAATTATATTATATATTGTTATTATACATTAAAATATAATTAATTAAAATCTATATTTATAAGCTTGTTTTCTTTCTCTTACGTAAAATAATTTTTGAATAATTATTTGTGAATTTCTTAAACTCATCATCTATAATCAGGGTGGCCACTCAAATATGAAAATGAAACTCCGTGACTTTTCCATGACTTTTCCATAACCTTCATAATTTTTTATGATAAACCACTAACCAGTAAATTATTCAGTACTTCCATGCACTAAGCATTTCGTAGAAAGTTCTGAATTCATGTCTGAAAAAAACTTTTTTTCTTTTAATTCTCTGATAATCTATAACTTACACTGCAAAAATATATTTTTCAAAAAGGACGTAGACTAAACATACTTGTACTTTTCTTTGCATCCTAAAAACATCACAAGCAGAAAATAATAAAGATCATTTTAAAAAGTTCCATGAATTTTCCATGACTTTCAATGAAAATTTAGAAAATCCATGACTTTTTTCATGAGCAAATAAAAATCCATGACATTTCCACCCATAGTTAGTATTTTTTTTACTAAAAAAAATTACTAATTATGGGCCTGATAATTAGTATTTTTTTTATTTTATAAATTTATTCTATGTCATATACTATATGAAAAAAATTAGAATGTAAATTTTAACTTTTAATATTTTGTAACTCAATACATATTGTAAAGGGCTTCATGATAAGATCCTGTGATCTTCTAAAGTCAAAAATATATTCAATGTAAATTAATCTTGTAATTGTTATTAGAAATTATCCACTTAAAAAAATGGATGAAATATTGCTAATTGTAGTGCTGCATAGACAGAAACTACAAAAAAAACTACAACATTTTCAAAAAGATATACTTCACTACTGATTTGTGCCAATGCACGCTAAAAAACAAGTTTTAAAAAAAAACTTTTGCAGTGAAGTTAGAGGTTTAAAATAGTGAGATCTACTTATCTACTAATTCAAATAACATTTAATATTATTTGACTTAGTAGATAGGTAGATCTCATTTGGTCAAAATAATTACATCATTAAAAATGCAAAATGTCTGCATCTAATCAACAAAGACTTGTAAACTTGGTATCAAAATTGAACATTTAATATCTTTTGTCAAATGGTACTAGTTAGATTTGAAAATAACGAGTTTCATTTTTAAAATGATACACATTTCTAATGCTGATGCACTTTATGAAGATTTAAATTTAAATGAGAAGATTCAAGTTAACTTTAGTTTTATTCTTCTCATTTCTGTGCTTAATTATATTTCTAGATTTACGTCCTAAGTGATTCTAAATCATTCTTTGAAATTATCAGCAAATTGCTGCCTTAAATTGAGGGTGATTAATTACTAAGTCTCGTCGTACTTTATATTTTATCAACGCTGATTTATGGCATATTTTTTAGCTCTAGTGTTAAACTTAAAAAATGTATATTCAACTAATACAACTATTGGTAACAACTACTTATACATAAAATAAAAAAATAACTTTTATATAAATATTTATATTTAAATTAAATTATTTGAACCTAATTACTAACCTATTGTTGATATAAAAGTAGAATTAAAAGCGTCTTCAGAAAATCTAAATAGAACACATGTTTTTCCAACACCAGAATCACCAATTAAAAGTAATTTAAATAAGTAATCATATGTTTTAGCCATTTTATTGATCTTACTTAAAATATCATCAAAATTCGATCCCGATTCATGTTATGATGATATTTTACGGAGAGAAGGCTGGGTGGTAGAAAAAATAACGTATATAAACCAGTTTCCGATATAAAACACGTCATTTCTAATACATGTAAAAGAGGCAAAATATTTTTCAGATTAAAATTTAAGAGTTGATAGTTTCATTTTTAATTTATAAGTTTCTTATAAATAGAATGTTTTTAAAACAAAAACAAGATAAAACAAACAGTTTAAAAAATTAATTTATTTTATTGTTGTTCTAAATATAATAAAAATTTTTATACATAAACCGATAACCGCATGCGTTGTCGGCGTATAATCGCCGTGCGTGTCAAAATTTAAAGCATAAATTGTGGCAGAATACGCTTTGGAAGTGAGGTATTGCTTCTTTTTTTTATTATTTATTATTAAGTTTTTTGCGTAAGTTTGGTTCAAACTTACGCAAACTGGTTTATATACGTTATTTTTTCTACCACCCAGCCTTCTCTCCGTAAAACTTCATCATAACATGAATCGGGATCGATTTATGATGATATTTTAAGTAAGATAATTTTTTAAATTATCTTACTTAAAATATCATCATGATTCGATCAAAAAATTTAATAAGGAACAATAATGTTTGTAATTCCTTTATTAAAGACTCAAAAAATACAATTTTTTTGATCCAATCTAAAGTAAAAGTTTTCTATGCCCAAAATCTTTTTTCTAGTCTATATAAAAGTAAAATAGCTGAGGTCTTAATGTTCCTTTGAAATGATTTTACGAGTAAGTTTTATTTTGCATGAAAACTAAAGATGAAATAAATATGTGTTGCATATGCTGTCTATTGATCAAAAAGCAAAACCTTTTAACTTTTTACTTATTAAAGTTTTTCCAATATTGTTAATCGAAAAGAAATGACAGGCGCAAATAAAATAAAATATTATTAATATTCTTATTCTTCTTATCGTCTTCCCCCTAATTAAGCAAGCAAATATAACATAACCGAAAATTATAAAAAAATATACATTTTTACTGTACATGGTTATTTTATTGGTATCGGTATACCAATAAAATAACCATGCAAGTATATAATACTTAAAAATAATGAAAAATATATATAATAACAATATATATATATATATATATATATATATATATATATATATATATATATATATATATATATATATATATATATATATATATATATATATATATATATATATATATATATATATATATATATATATATATATATATATATATATATATATATATATATATATATATATATATATATATATATATATATATATATATATATATATATATATATATATATATATATATATATATATATAATAATTATAACAATAATTACAATAATAATAATAATAACATTATGTAACAAAGTTTTTCTTTTGTTCTGTTCCTAGATTGAAAGTGTGTTTTCTAAACTTTTTAGGTCTAGAACAGAAAGGAAATTCCAGAAAAACTTTGCTTCTGTGAACGAGACAATGAAATTTTGAAAAGTGTGTGTTTTCGAGAATATTCTCGATTTGTTTTCAATGCCAAGCTTCCACCAATAATATTCCTGAACTGCTAGAGTTGTCCAGATGTTTATACAACTCTCCTAAATACTCAAGAAACTTCCAGGACTTTTAAGAAACTCTCAGAACTTTCAAGAACGCTCTTGAACGTTCTAAAAGTTCCAAAACACCTGTGCTTTTTTACATGTATAGCTATACATGTAAAAAAGCACAGGTGTTTTGAACCAAGATTCCAATTTCTTTTATTGCAAACTGAAAGGATAACGGTTCGCAGTTGAAGAGAAGTTATTTATTTAATATACCATTAAGAGTTTGTTTTCATCCAGCTGATTCATTCTGCTACGTGTATCTGCTATAGATAATGCATGTATCGCATCCTATTAAATGGCGCCTATTCATAAACAGTTCATCCCGGAACCTTGAAGCAGTTTCACCTCACAATGGAAACAACTAACCATCTCTCCTGATGGCCCACTCTGTGCATCTCAAGGAGGACTACACCAATGTCAAAATGTTGCTTAGTATATTAAAGTATGACGGCTACGGATGGGAAGTCATTGACTACTTCAAAATGGTATCATTTTTCATGGGTCTTGAAGTAAGTTTTACCAAAAATCCTTATTTTTTCTGTCTCTAGAACAGCCGAGACATTAAGGCGCATTATTGCACAAAGGACCGATTTTTTTGGGGAAAAGCAATGAGAAGTGGGAGCCGCTGATAGAACCTTATAAAGTGCTTATGCTACCACTGGACATCAGGTTAGGTCTTAATAAGCAATTTTTCACTGCTATTGACTAGGAATCAGAAGCAGTTCAATACTTTTTCCAAAGCTGTCCGAGGCTTAGGTCAGGGCTGGTATATTCGTCGGATCAAAGATCAAGAAGATCATAGAATGTAAGAATTTTGCAAAGCTGTTTAACAAGACGGAGAAAGCGGCTGGGAGCAGTTTCACTGCGGTTATTCAGGGCTTTCTATGTAATAACAAAGCTGAAAACTATGTGGAGGTGGTACATGCTTATGAATAGCTGAAAGCTATGTGGAGGTGGTACATGTTTATGAATAGGCGCCATTTAATAGGATGCGATACATGCATTATCTATAGCAGATACACGTAGCAGAATGAATCAGCTGGATGAAAACAAACTCTTAATGGTATATTAAATAAATAACTTCTCTTCAACTGCGAACCGTTATCCTTTCAGTTTGCAATAAAAGAAATTGGAATCTTGGTTCAAAACACCTGTGCTTTTTTACATGTATAGCTATACATGTAAAAAAGCACAGGTGTTTTGGAACTTTTAGAACGTTCAAGAGCGTTCTTGAAAGTTCTGAGAGTTTCTAAATTATCATTTGAAGAATTTGAAATAGCATTTAAAACTCTGAAAAAAAATAAAGCTACTGGAGCAGATGACATTAATTGTAATATAATTCTAAACTGTTTCGAACAATTAAAAGATATTCTCTTTAAAGTTTTTAGCGCATCAATTAATCAAGGAATTTTTCCTGAACAACTAAAAATTGCAAAAATTACCCCAATTTTTAAAGAAGGTGATAGGGCTATTATTAGCAACTACCGACCCATTTCTATCTTACCTATATTTTCAAAAATATTAGAAAGAATTATGTATAATAGAGTCTATGATTATTTTCAATGCAATAACCTACTATATAGCAATCAATTTGGCTTTAAAAAGCACAACTCCACGGAACATGCAATCATTCAATTTGTACGCGAAATTTCAAAATCCTTTGAAAATTCCCAATACACACTAGGTATCTTCATTGACCTATCTAAGGCTTTTGATACAGTAGATCACACTATATTACTGCATAAGCTTAAATATTATGGTATAAACAAAAAAACTTTAAGATGGTTTGAAAGCTACCTATCAAATCGTAAACAATTTGTTTCTTGTAAGGATGATTGCCAAAAAAATTTATTAGATATATCTTGCGGTGTTCCTCAAGGCTCTATATTGGGACCCCTCTTATTCTTGATTTACATTAATGACTTAAATAAAGCTTCAAATCTACTTAGCATTATGTTCGCTGATGATACTAACCTATTTCTTTCTGATACTGACATCTCCAAACTGTTTTGTAATATAAATGACGAACTTAAAAAAGTATCTAGCTGGTTCAAGTGTAACAAATTAACTCTTAATCCTAATAAAACAAAATGGATTATTTTCCACCCGCTTCAAAAAAAACGTTACCTACCCTTAAATCTGCCTAAAATATTTATTAACCAAATTGAGATTAAGAGGGACTCTGTCATAAAGTTTTTAGGAGTCTATCTTGATGAGCACATTACATGGAAACAGCATATTGATCACGTATGTACCAAGATTTCTAAAAATATTGGAATTTTATATAAAACTAGAGATTATCTAAATAAAAATAGTTTGACCCAACTCTATCATTCGTTCATCCATAATTATATAAATTATGCAAATATTGCTTGGGGAAGTGCTGGAAAGAATAAGTTGAAACGTCTTTTTTCACGTCAGAAACACGCAATTCGTACTATTAATTTTTCCGATCGCTTTACTCATTCGAAACCTTTATTTAACGAAATGAGAATACTTAATATTTACGAAGTGAATTTATATAATACTCTATGTTTTGTATATATGTGGAAAAATAACTTATCTCCTGACGTTTTTAAAAATATTTTTACTTTGAAACCAGACAATAAGTATGCACTGAGAAATAATAATTTGCTAAATCAAGTTTTATGTCGAACCAAGTTTAATCAGCTTTGTATTGATTATCGTGCACCTAATCTTTGGAATAAAGTTATTTTGCAAAATTTTGATCTACCTTCCTCTTTTTCTATTTTCAAAACTATACTTAAAAATCTAATTCTTTCTATGGAGAACGTTTTTCTATATTACTAGTGTTATGGGTTTGTCTACCTATTATTAAAACTAAGTTTACCTATTTATATAGTTACATTGAGATTGTACTGAAACTGATAGCTGTGAATAGATGTATAAATATTTATTATTTGAGTTCGTATTATATATTGCTTTATATTATATATTGCTAGTATGTATAAGTTTTCAGGTTTATTTTATCTTTTATTTAGTATTTGAAAAAACAAAAAACAAAAAAATTTTATTACGGTTTTTATAACACGGTTTTGTAAAAATTAAAAAGAAAAAAAAAAAAAAAAAAAAAAAAGAAAAAAGAAATAAAAAAAAAATAAAAATAAAATAAAATCAATAAATTATGTATAAATGCGTATGTGTATCTGTGTATGTATGTATTTATGTATGTATATTGGTATATATATGGGTGTATGGGTGTATTTGTGCTGTTAGTATGGGTGTGTGTGTGCTTGCAGTCTATGTATATTAAAAAAAAAAAAAATAAAGAATAGTGCATCATAACCTCTGGCGTAGGAACACCCAACTATAACTGCTTGGCAATCGTTGGGCTGGATTGGGATTCGGTGATACCACCTATGATCGCTTCTATGATAAAGATGCAAACACAATATATACTTAAAAAAAAAAAACTATATTAGA